CAAGGCTACCTGCTTGGACTAGCATGGAGTTGGGGAAACGGAGACAGAATCCAATACTCATTCTCCTTCTTAACTTTTCGTGTCGTCTCTTAATTTTCAAAGTAGCAGAAACCAAAGTTTCAGAGAAAACCAGAAGAAAGAGACAATGCAGCATGCCTGGGACACTGGAGATGGAAGAAATTACATTGCACAGTAATGAGAGTTAGAGTGTCAGTGGCTTGGAACAGCAAATAATGCATAGCGGAGAGAAAACAGAGAGGGAAAGCAAGCAGGAGGTTAGTAAAGACAGGACATGAGCACAGATGGTTCTAAAACAAAAGGTGGAAGAATTTAGGGAGAATTTGTTTTCTTTATCAGAAAAGGAGCTACTTTACAGTTGTTCTTACAGAGCAGTATGCACAATGATATATTAGAAACATTAGTTAGTATGGTATAGATAGCCACATATTTTGCTGGGAAATGCAGTTCCAAGAGACTGGAGATCATCCATGTTGGTCATATACTCCACCTTACTCCAAAGATCAAGGATCTGCTAAAACCCACACCTTACTGTTCCTTAGAAAAAGTTGTTATGTCACCATCATCATGATGGTCTCAAAAACCTTTTGGAGTTTTTTCCTAAGCTCGTTCTCACTGTCAGGATAAAATGTCAGATAATGTATTTCCTCACTGTGTAAAATAACATTTTTCTCATCTTATATATTTACTTATTTCACATTTCGAAGGCTTTCATCATATACCAGTATCCTATTTTTGCAGGTTTGAAAGTTTTATCTCTGGGTTCTAATTCAATGCGACAGTGTGGCTACCCCCTTAAGGATTTCTTATCCCCAGTGTTGGGTTTAATTTCTATCTTGTCTTTGTGACTCTGTACAATATTCAAACAATTTTTTATTCTTTCATTTTCCTTTGAGAATAATTAGCTTTTACTATTTGCTCCCTGAGGTATGACAAAACACCACTGACTGTATGGAAAAGTTCTTAAGGATTGCCCACTCCTCTGGATTGTTTCTGGCTCCCAATCTCTGCCATCCCATAAGTACGGTTTGGATTATCCTTCTGTAAACAACTTTTTGGATACTGTTATATAGAAACTCATTTGCCATTTTTATGCCCTCCCATACCAAAAAGATATCTGCAGTTTATCTCTGATAGTCTATAATTTCATCACAACAAAAAGTTTACACCAAGTTGACTTGGAGATTTGGCTATGGACCGCTTCCTCCAAATTATTTATAAATCTATAAAATAATACTTCAGAGATGAGTTTACTTATCATTATCTTCTACTTCCTGCTCAAGACCATTGTAAAACCACAGCTCTGATCACTTTGTGACTCAGTGTATTTTAACACTGTTTGATACAGGAAAGTTCTAAAAATGTAAATAGCTTACAACTACTGGTTTCATTTTGTTCATATTAATTCAAATATGCACTGATTCTCTTGAAATCATATTAACTTTTGTTATATATATGTAATATATAAATATCACTTTATATTTTCAATGCTCTAATCCTTTATTTTACATTCTAACAACCTCTGTGAAATTGAAGAGAGAGTTAATAATTGGTGGTTCTCAGTATTCCTTCTGGAGCCCTTTAAGTGGTTATCACAAAGGAAAATCACCAGCTATCCTATATAAAAAGACCTGAACATTCTGGGAAATAGTCCACAATTGCACACCTTGAATATTTTCAATATTGTAAGGTCAGTCAAATTCAGGGGACTGATTTATATTTTCTTAGAGATTTGTTCTGGAATGATATCTAATTTTACCTTTATGCAACTAGAAATTCCAAAGTGACAATTTCTAAAACAATTTTGGAAAGAGAATCTCCCTAAAATTTTCCCTAGAAATTTGTTTATTCTCCAGTTATTCTTTCTTTTCGACCCCATATTCTATTCTCCTTTTATAACATGATCCTTAAGTAATTCTATGAATTTTCTATGTGGATTTCTCTCTTCATTATATTAGTTTAGAAGCTTCTATGATGAAGACTTTCAGAGTATATCTTGCACTACTTTGCAATTGTGAGCATTTCAGATGAATGTAGAACTAAAATTATCCTATAAAATTATCCTATTTGAAGAAACCATAGTCTATGTATCAGGGGCAGGTGCAAGGACCTCAGATGTCCATTGCTCCTTCTCCAACTTTACTCCCCAGAATCTGCTGGCTTGCATCAGCCTACCATTGCTTCACCGAGATAGTTTCATAGAGTAATTTCATGTGGCTGTCATTGAGAGGGGAAATGACAAACCTGAGGATAGGGAGAACTCATAGCTTCCAGAGAAATTTAGAGTACAGAAGAGAGACTAAGGTGAGTTAGGATAGGTGTTCTGTGTGCTCCCTCACATCAGCAGCCTTGTTTCTATCACCTGGGGACTTGTTACAAATGTACATTTTTGCCCCCACCACCCCAAATCTACTAAATCAGATACAACACAAGTGGGATCCAGAAACCCATCATTTCACAACTCTTCCCATTGATTGTAATTACCACTGCGTTTGAGAGTTAGTTCCCTTTACCAAAGGGCAAACAATGCCCTAGAGCAGTGCACATCAAACACGGTCTGTATGAGGACTGAAGGCCTTCCATGGCACTAAAAATCGTACTTTTCAAATAAAGCTCCTTGGGGTTGTTGTGCAAATTATATTTGATTGCAAGGCCACTGATAAAATCTAGAGAGAGATCACACAAGGAGTCGCCAGGAAAAACAGACTAAATGGGATGACCTTGACAAGTTTGGCACAACATTGAGGGAGACCCACTAGACTTGGCTTTGGTTGGCATCTTCATAGTTGACACAAAGAAAGTCTTTATCCAGAGTCCAGGATTTTAAGCAAGACAATCTATCATGAAAGGTCAGTAAATAAGAGAGTGTGAAACGTTAAGCTTATGCCAGAATAGGTTGTATGGTTTGAAACTTCATGGAGTATTTTATTAGCTCTCATTGGAAGCTGATGGGAGAAATGAGTGTGAACTTGAACTTTCTCAAAGCTGTACTAAGTAGGTGCAGTGAAACAAAGTGCACCTTCAAGACAGGAGGAAGCCTAGGTTGTGTCAATGGAACTCAGAAAGCCTGCAGTTTCAGAATGGCTGTGTCACCTTGGCCACGCTACTTAATATTGCCATTCATCAATTTTCTCACAGTTAAAATGTACATAAAAATAGAATCTATCAAACAGGATTCTTGTAACATTTAGTAAGTACAGATTTACAAGGTACTCAGAATAGTGCCTGGCACTTAATAAAAGTCAGTAAATCATTTCTTCTTCTTTGTCCACATCTTTGTCATCACGTTCTTATCATTATCATGACATCTGCCACATTCATCTTTCTTGGTGAATAGAGAAACAACGAGGCAGAAAAATTGTGAGTATATTAGGATAACTGTCAGATGGCAGAGAACAAATTAAGGTGATTAAGCAAGGACTCTGAGAAAGGAGGGCATATATCAAAATTATGAATACTTATGCCAAATATTTTCATATGAAGTAATTGAAAAAATTATTTTGTGAGTTGAGTCTCAAGGCTGAAATAATTAAAAGAAAAGCTACTATTGTTAGAGTAGCTTTCAGAAATGTCAATGTAGCAATGTTTTAATGTTTAATAAGAGAAGTAGCAAGTCTTAGAGTTGGTTAACTTTCTTTTGGTTTCTCTGAAGTCATGCATAGGTCATACTTCCTCCCCAATCTTTTGTCATGGCGAGAAGTTGAATAACATGAAGGATTTCTCTGGGGAGCTTGCTTGCTCCCTCTTATACATATAAGCACATAGTATTATTAATGAATTCTTTCAAAAAGTATTTATTTGAGGAGAAAGAGAGACAGAAACAGATATATATATATATATATAGAGAGAGAGAGAGAGACAGAGAGAGAGAGAGAGATCCCATTCACTGTTTTCCTCTCCAAATGTCTGCCACTTCAGCTAAAGCTGAGGGCCGGGAACTCAACCCAAGTCTCCCACATGGGTGCCAGGAACCCAATCATTTAAGCCATCAGTGCTGCCTCCCAGAGTGTGCATTAGCAGGAAGCTGGAGTCAGGAGCCAGAGCCAGGAATTGAACCCAGGTACTCAAGGGCATGTTAACTGTTAGGCTAAACATCCAACCACTTATTGATGAATTTGTGAAACTAATATTGGTTGACATGAATTTTCAGGTTCTTTAGGAACATTGCATATTTAAGATCCCCCCCCTAAACAAAGAAAACTAAAAATCTCTGAAAAAAATACAAACCTACCAGAAATTTTCAGTCTTCAAAAAATTCTCAAAGTCCTTAAAAGTGATTTTCAACATTCATATTTTAAAGAGATATACCAGATCAATGCATTATAAAGAATTTCCTTACCATCCTCAGTTCAAGAAGCATACAGTAACAATGTATATAATTTTTTTTTACACAAGCAGAATTGTTATCTTTACCTAGTGGTTCAGACAGCCAGTAATATTTAACTTGTATGCTTCATGTAGCAATAAAATAAATAAATGGCCCTCTCAAATGGTACATCCTGCGTTAGATAAATACTTCTCTTCAGCACACTCTAACCTGCCTAGCCACAAAGTGTTGCTTCCGTCTATCCTTCCTAGCCACAAAGTAAATTTTCTCGAGGCATCCTCATTGATTTTCCTCACACCACAGTAAAATAGTCTGTACCAGTAAATCAAGCAACAGTATTTAATTGTGATACACCCAAAGCAACTTATTATTGATGAATATTTAACACAGACAACCCAAAGCAGTGGGTCTTCCCAAATCAATGATTTTGCACTTCAAAAGTCATGTGGAAGCAGAATTGTGATTAAAGAATCTGCTCTGGTGGATCTGCATTTATCCAGCCAGTGTGCAAAGCCCCACAAGTTTGACAAGGGAATTTTGAGAGATAAATAGTGACTTGGCTGTGAGAGGCAGGGTGGGTTTTACCTCTTGTCAGTCACACTACTGAGTGAGCAGAACCCTGAGCACCCACAATTTAGAGGCAAGAAACCATGACCTGTTTTTCTTTCTGAAGGGAAGCTGATGAAAACAGAAATGTCCAGGAGAGGTTCCAAATGGGTAATGGAATAACAGCAGTATCATCTAATTAGAAAGAGAGAGAGAGAGAGAAAGAGAGAGAATGAGAACACTATCTTGTTTGTAGTATTGACCTTTTTACTTGTCATTGCATTTTCATAGTTTTAGTTCATACATAGAGTGAAGGTTTGTGCTACATTTTTTTTCTAACCAACTCAGAAATATATTTATAAAATTTTCAAAATATAAGAAAATAAATCTCAGTTGTGGGAGCTACTCAGTGTTGGTATCTTGTGGCAGCCTGAGCTGACTGAAACACTGTCTAAAACCATTTTTTTCCCTGAAGAACTCTTAACACTGGTAATTGACACCCAGAATATCTATTCTCTTCAGGGTTGACTCTCTCACATCTGTTGGGCATAACTTCACTCAGAGACCTGAACAAGACAACTAAATGAGAATACATTAGAAGACAAAAATGCCATAGAAAATATGTTGCCCTCTGACTAGCTGTTTTCATTCTTTTTTTTTTTTTTTAAGTAGAAAAACCACTGTTCCTTAAGAGTATGGACAAGGGCTATAAGCAATAATCAAATCTCAAAATGTCAATTTTGTTCACATACATTACTTTTCTTGTACTCTTTATTTTAGTTACCACGAATCAGTAAAAACATACGATATTTGACTTTCTGGGGCTGGCTTATTCCAATAAGTGTAATTGTCTCCAGTTGCATCCATTTTGTTGCAAAACACAGGATTTCATCATTTTTTATGGCTAAGTATTATTCTGTAGTGTATATATACCAAAATTACTTTATCCATTATTCTATAGTGTATATATACCAAAATTTCTTTATCCAGCAATCAGTTGATAGACAGCTGGGTTGATTTCTTATCTTAGCTATTGTGAATTGAGCTGCTATAAACATGGGGTACAGATAACTCTTTAATATGCTGATTTCATTTTTTTTTTTGACAGGCAGAGTGGATAGTGAGAGAGAGAGAGAGAGAGAGAGAGAGAGAGACAGAGAGAGAAAGGTCTTCCTTTTGCGTTGGTTCACCCTCCAATGGCCGCCACAGCCGGCGCACTGCAACCCGCGCACTGAAATGATCTGAAGGCAGGAGCCAGGTGCTTCTCCTGGTCTCCCATGGGGTGCAGGGCCCAAGCACTTGGGCCATCCTCCACTGCACTCCCGGGCCACAGCAGAGAGCTGGCCTGGAAGAGGGGCAACCGGGAAAGAATCCGGCGCCCCGACCAGGACTAGAACCCGGTGTGCCGGCGCCGCTAGGTGGAGGATTAGCCTATTGAGCCGCAGTGCCGGCTCTTCTGATTTCATTTTAATTGAGTAAATTCTCAGGAGTGGAATGGCTAAGTCATATAGTAGATCAATTTTCAGATTTCTGAGGAATCTCCATACAGTCTTCCACATGATTGCACGAGTTTACATTCCCACCAACTGTGTGTTAGGGCACCTTTTCCTTTACACCCTACCAGCATTTGTTATTTTGTTCTATTTTTTGGATGACAGTCATTCTAACTGGGGCAAGGGAAACACTCATGGTGGTTTTTATTTGCTTTTCCCTGATGGCTAGTCATCCTGAGCATATTTTCATGTGTCTGTCGGTCACTTGTATTTCATCCTTTAAAAAATGCCTGTTCATATCCTTGATCCATTTCTTAATTGGATTGCTTATTTTGTTGTTGTTGAGTTTCTTGAGCTCCTTACATATTCTGGATATTAATCAATTCTAGGACATTTAGTTTGCAAATATTTTCTCCCATTCTGTCAGTTGCCTCTTATTTTTGTTGAATATTTCCTTTGCTGTGCAGAAACCTCTTAGCTTGATGTCATCCAATTTGTCTATTTTTGTCTTTATTGCCTAGGCTTCTGGGGTCTTATCCAAGAAATCTTTGTCTATGCAAATGTTTTGAAGTGTTTTTCATCCATGTCATGTACGGATTTCTTTAACTCATGTATTTGCTTCTCTGTGTTTTTGAGTAATGATCATTCTTTTTAATTCCTTTCACAGGCACTTCATCAGTCTCTTCATCTTCACATTCTAATACTGCAGTATTATTGTGTTAATCTGGGAGAATCATATTGCTGTCCTTGTTCATGCTTCTTGTATTACTACATTTATTTTTAGGCATTTGTGGAAACACTTGTTGGTTTTCTCCTTTGAGGGCTTTTATATTTGAAATGTTCTTCTATGGCTTAGTGGAGTATCTGCTCCTTCAGAGGATATCCAGAGGCATGTTCTGGGTGGGACCAGGGAGCTCCAGCCACTGCTTGAGGGTGGGGCAAGAGTCCAGAGTGACACCCTATTTTGGTGTGGTAGATCTCCTCTATCATCAGCAGGGGGGAGGGTGTGATTATGTTGGCTGGTGTGAACACAGCCTCTCCCCATCTCTGCCAGGGTGAACCAACTGTCCAGGGTGAGCCCACTGTAGCTACCCACCCCACTCATGCAGGTACATGAACCACACAGATCTGTGCACTCCTCAGTGTGGACAGGGAACCCTCTGTGACGATCCACCCCAGGCACTCAGGGAACTCTGAGCCTCTGAAGCCAGACACAGGGAATGTTCAGAGACCCAGCCACATTCCGTATCTTTTTGCAGTCATAAAATTCCCACAGTCACAGCGTGAGGGGTTCCCACAGTCACAGGGAGCAGGGGATCCACTTTCAGCCCCATGAGCCTCTGGAGAGCCCAGGTGATCTCAGAGCCAGCTGCCTGCCCAACAGAATCAGTCAGTGCTCCATCTTGGTAGGTTGTCTGGACACCTTGAGAGAGTGAGGTGAGGGGAATGTCACAGGCACACACCTGTGTGTGCATCCTGCCCCCATTAGTCTCCAGGCCAGGCTGAGAGTGGGGACCACAACATGCTCTCCCTCCATGGGGTTGGGTGGGCACCCTGCCCCTCATTAGTGCTCTTGTCCAGATTCAAAGTCAGTGTAGTCTGCGAGGTTCTCCCTCAGGCAATATTCCCAGTGCCATGGGCTGCCACAGGCTCCTCTCACCTTGCTCCAAGATGATCTAACCAATCTTCCTGCTCCTTTCAAAAATACGCTGACTGATGCTCACACCACCCTGACGCGGCTGAGCTCTTGTACTACTCTCTAGCAGGGGCGGGAAAACTGGTTTCTGCCAAGGGCCATTTGGATATTAATAACAGCATTTATGGGCCATAGAAAATGATCAACTTAAAAATTAGCCTGGTATCGATTCATTGGATCATGAGTCCTGCCTGCATTTGCCTCAGCAAGGCCAGATCAAATGATTTTGTGGATCTCATATGGCCCATGGGCAGGACATTGCCACTCTTGCTAGAGTTGCTATATCATTCTGCTTCCATAGTTGCAGGGTTTTTTGTTCTTATCAAAAACCAGTTTTGCTGTCAAACATTATTTGTTATGACTACATACTTTTCTTCTTTGTAATATTACACAACCAAATTACATTTGAAAAGAGAGAATTGTTCTTTTAAATAAAATGTTGCATGTTCTTCACAAATCCCAAGAGATGTAGATTCCTTACCAAAAAAGATATACTTTAAAAAACAAATGGGAATGGTGGAGAATAAAGAAGGGCTATGACCTTGTTACATCCCTGTTTCCTAAAACAAAAAATATTTAAGTTGTGTGTTGAGAGATGATTCTCTATAAGATTGTCACATTTTTGTACTTTTTATTTAGCAGAGATATTGACAGCTTTATTCTCAGGTTTTCTGTTCGAGGATGGTTGTTTAACAGCTTTGGAAGACAGAGATAATGCCTTCCTTGGAGGCAAAGGTCAGGTTTATTTGCTATCCACTTTAAGGTGTCTTCCTCTGGAGCAAAGGTTGGGCAGTTTCTCTTGCATCCCCTTATAAAATCTGGTGTTTCTGGAGCTAGACATTCCCAAGGTGGTTTAGCTCCTTGTACTGCCAGCATCTTCCCCCATGCTACCTCTTCCCTTGGGACTTCGTGGAACATGAACAAATGTGAGTACTGTGCTTGTATGAACTGTTGTGCCTTTCCTCAGACCCACAAGGCTCTTATCTTTGCCAGCATCCATGAAACTGGAAAGCTAACTTATTAGCTTGCATGGGGGTAAAATCTTAGAACCTCCAGAGTCTGTGACTACATATGCAATATTTGTATGATTCTTTGTTATAACTTTATGCTTTTTAAAAATTATAACTACTGCTCCTAATCTTATCAGATAGGAGTGCTTTTACTCTCTATGGTGTATGGTGGTATGAAACCTTGCTTTATTCCTCCCCACCCCCACTTCCTTACCTCCTGAAAATTCTTTCCCCTTTAATAGGATGAAGGCATTCAGAACACTTGACCCAGTGTCACGGTAATGCCCCTCTCTGTTGATCTTCCGCTGATGATTTATCTTCAGGCAACTTGATAGCTCATTTAGTAGTTTAGCAGTACCTGTTTGACATCATTTACCCACTTTTCCATTTCTGAACGCTTAACTTCAGATACTTCTCTAAAATCAATTATTAAAACAAACATTGTTGAGTGTCCACTTACATTTCAGAGTAAAATGTTGGCCATTTATCTTCTAACTTTCTTGGAGAGTTTTCAGAGGTGGATAATTTAATTGCAATTATATAATTATCAGGTCAATGAAGATGAGGCATTGTGGAGATAACAGGAAATATGAATAAAATATACATATCAAAATTTCAATCCCAATTATATTATAGAGGATTTAGGCTATTACCTGGAAATTTATGGGGACAAATGAAAATAAAGAGTAATTTTATTACTTTGCTATCTTGCAACTTTCCTTTGCCCATATAAGTGAAAGCTTTTTAAGAAAATTATATAGTTAGAGAGGACACTTGATATAAAAAGTTATTTTTTGGGAATATATACATTAAAATATAATTTCTTCTTCTAAGATAATATTTTATTTTCTCTCATCATTTCCTTTTTTCATATCCACTGTCACAACTTATCAACTTTTTCTTGTTGCATCTTCTCAAATATTTGTATTTATTTTTTCATTTAAAAATTTCAGTATGCTCTTTTAAAACATTCCAGTCTATTTTAACTTCTTTTAC